GTGGCAACCATAAGAAAAGTTATTTTATAGTCATTGCGCCCAAAATACCGTTTTATAGTCATTGCGCCCAAAATACCGTTTCGAGACTAATACCCCATTCAGTATTAATGTCCCTTTTGGGCTTCAAAAATATGCGCAGAGTTCATAATCAAACAACACTTTCCGTAAGCATCAAATGAAGAAAAGTATCAAAATATGAAATAGTAAAAAAAAAAAAATATATTCAGAAAGTTTCAAGATGCGAAATTCTGTAAACTTCAAGTAAAAATTGTTATATTTTATTGAAACCTATCAAAATACCTGAAGAAATAAAATGTACATCTGTACGCAAGACAGACCATTTCACCATTTATATATTTTTAAATGAGAGATAATATCAATTTAAAATATTAAGAAGATATTTTAAGATAGATTTATATTTATTATAGATTGATTAATTGCCTTGCTAATTTCTTCATCGGAAATGATGATGCATGATAATTTAAAAAGTGCTATTATTTTTAAAATCTGATAATGGAAATTTTAAAATTCATGACGTGAGAAACTAGAATTTTGATGCCTTATTTCAGACTGTTCATTTCTCAAACTTTAGATTTCGATTACCTAGCGAAATTTAAATCCTTGTAGACATGATTTATTTTAAAATCAAAGCTCGCTGCTTTTGTGATTATGCTGTCATCACAGAAACGATTAGTGTAAAAATGAAGACAGTAAAATAAGTTTGATAAATGTTTAAATTATAAGGAAGTGTTAGTTAATTAAAACAAAGCATTCCGATGGCTGGTGACCAGTGCTGACACAATGTGATTCCTGCCCAGTGCTCTGAATGTCAAGGAAGTGTTAGTGTAATTTATACGTACTTTTTCAATTATTCGCGATATGGTATATGACTGAATTTGAAGATTTTTATTCATGCAACTAAAACTATATTGCATTATACTGCAACTAAAAGTGTAAAAATACTTTGCAGATAATACTTTTGGATACTGAACCGTGCGACAAAACGTAGCATTATATTCTCTATTATCCTAAACATAAACATGGAATTATGATATTTCAACGATTAAAAAAGATTCAATTTAACATGAACTTACAAAATAAAAATAAACAAATTAGCAAATTAAACAAAATAACACATTTCACAAATAAAGCAGTTTTATCTAAATAATATTCGTGATAACTAAACGTTTATTTATTTCAAGATTTAAATTAAATGTAGTTCTATATGCAACTGTTATTAACACTATATAATGTATTGACAATTAAAAATCAAAAAGACAATCGTTATTTCAAAAGATAAAATATGATGTATGAGATTTTCATTGGAAATAACTGAGGATTTAATGAAGTGCACACAGATAATAATATTAATAATTAAACTATTAGGTATTATTAACATTTAAAGAATAAATTTTATTAGTAGTAATAGCTCCAATATATGTATTGTCAGTAAACATAATTCCATATTAAAAAAAATTATGTTTCTGGAAAATGGTTGCAGGTCAAAAAAATTATTTATGTAGCGACGATTTATAATTGCCATCAACATAAAATGCGTCCGAATACGTATATTTGTTACAATGTGCCTGACGTCGTCAAAACACCTCTTTTTATATTTGCCATAGACTGGTCGTCGTACAACTTTGTTTTCGTCAGAAATACCCAAGTTTCTTCACTCAAATGCCTATTGATCAAAATGCAGCATGCAAGAGTGGTTAAAACGTGCTTTAACACTGTTTTTACTATTACAAAAGCACTCTGCTCCAGATGATATACTTTTATACATTCCTTCTAGAAAATAAAGAAAATATCCTTTTAGAGCCGAATTCAGTTATTGCAAGTTTCATGCACATGGGAGCATAACTTCCCTTTTGAATAAAGGTGTGTATCTATCAACATTAAAAGGATACTTCCCCCCCAAAAAAAATTAAGACACATTGGATTTCTCCTTAAGAAATAATGTATTAAAATAGTTATCTTCAACACTACTTAATATATTAACTTTAAAAACAAACCTTGTAAAATCATGCTTTTAAAAATAAACTTTTTGATCTTTAAATATGTAACTATAAGTAATCAAATTTTTAAATGCATTAATAAATAATTAATATTATTAATAAGTATTTGTATAATAGATATTACGGAGAGTAATTTTGAATGAAGCATAGATTTCATAATAATTTTTAAAGTATTTCTAATCAAAATCTCGAATAAATATTATTTTAAAAGAACAAATGCATGCATATATTATCAAAAGGTTAGTCTTTCTGTTTCTTACTAGATAATATCTTCCATTTTAGTATAAAATATCTCATGAACTAAAAAAGCAGCTGAAGAAATTCAAAGAATGCAAAAGGTTTGGTTACTTAAGGAATAAGGGAAATGCGAAAACAAATATGCATTCGTATTTGCATAAATTAGTTTAAAACTAATACGCAGAAAAAACAGTCCGTTTACATATCTGAGATTTCTAACATAAAATAAGAAATTAATTGCAAGAGGAAAAAAGTGTAAGAAATTTTCTTGAAATCATAGAAACTTTTATTAAAAATTGTAAAAGCCTATAAAAATTAATTTTGTGTGAATCAAAGTACAATATAGCGTTAGAAGAATCTTTAAGCAATTCATATAAATGATTAATTAAATATATCATGAATAAAATACCTTTAATTTATATTTACCTTTAATTTAATTTATATTAAAATCAAACTGAATGAAATGTAAAGAATAGAAAAATATTATTAAGAACTCCACTTATTGTTTTTAAATCGTTTGTTGATCAATAACAAGCAGATTTAATTTGAAAGTTGCGTTTTGACGGATGGCAACATTCTGGCGAGTTATATTTCCACAACTCGCAAAACATTACTTTTAAGTAGCCGTTATTTTTCATTAAATTTTAAAGATAAATTTCCTTACACTGGAGTGTGAAAGATAAATATGGTTAAATTGGCGAATTTTTAATCAAAATTTATTAATTTGCACAAAATACGAATTAAATTTTTAAAAAAATCGAATTTCAAAATTCAAGATTTTGGGTGTATATGTTCAGGTAGGGAACGTGTGCTCAAAATTTGATTCCGTTGTATTCCCAAAATTTTTTATTCTACTGTTTACCCACGATACAAGGAACAAGCAAACGAATAGATTCTTCATTACTTATCAATATATATTTCAAGAATCATTATTAATTGAAAAAATAATAAAGTGAGGGAAGAAAAACATACCGGAACTGACTGTAGAAACGAGAAGAAAAGTGCACTATGGCTTTTTAAACTTTATGAAACATGGCTTCAAATACTTTAGATTAATTATTTTTAAATTTAGTTTATTGTCTTCGCAAACTTACTTTAATCCTCATTTACTTAAATTTGAATGATAGTCATATTACATTTGCCTGAACATAGCATATGATCCAGGTAAATATGATTGATCAGTTATCCTCCTAGCACATAATCTACATTAATTTATTGTCATTAATGTTCATAGATTCATTTAAATCGAAAGAAATTTGCTTAAAATTGTTAATAAACGTGTAACAAAGAAATTATCTCAGTTTTTTACGTCTTAACATATTGTCATATTCTTACTTTTTTATTTTACCAATGAAACGCTTAATATCTAAATTGCAAGTTCATCGTACTAGAAAGGTACAGCCACGAAGGGATGCAAAAGTTCATCGTATCATTAGCATGAACAGTTTTATCAAAACAATTTAAAGCAAATTTCTAAATCATTTTAATAATATATATTAATATAGTGGGCAAATTTCTGATTTATCATTTATATTTCTGTTATGATAATTAGTTTACCTTCTACATAAGATATTGAGATTTTTATTATTCGTATGAAAATTTATTATTACTCGGTTAAGAAATGTTTCAATTAATAATTATTATTTCAAAATAGCATTTTAAGTTAAATTGATTTTAGTTGTTTTAAAAAACTAGTTTTTAATATTAATTAAATATTGCAAAAAATTATAATAAATCTTCTGGCCAAACTATTTTTCCATTTTAATACATTTTTTATTCTAAAAATAAAATATCTCTTTCAATAAAAGATACGCATTATACAGGAAATGTTTCGGTTTATAAAAACAATAATTTGCATTTATCAGTTATAAAATAGAATTCTGCAGTTAGAAAACACTATAGCATATAACCAAAAGTTTCAAGTTTTCATTTAAAAACTAAATAAAATTTAAGATTTTCAACCCTTTAAATATAAGTATTAAATATTTACCAAAATTTAAAATAAGCTAAATTAAAGAGAATTTTGAACCTTTTTCAGCTTGTTTAATAGTTATAGATATTAAAGAACTCGAGCTGGAAAAACTCTGATTTGGTATTTTCTTGTATAATTTGATCACATCAAGAAATTAATAATTATTGCACTTTTCCGTTCAGATTCTGCATATTAATAATTTCTCTGGCTAGAAATCTTAGAAAATGCTGCCGCTAAACAGTAAAGATAAGCATACCTTCCTTACTTGCAATCAGAGTGATAACATTCCCGTCTTCGGATATTAAAATTATGGTATGGCTCATCGCTGGAATTAAGAAATCTGAATCAGTTATTAAATCGTGACATTCCACGCCATACCCGCTTATCACAGTCCTTTACTTCTTTAATCCAAAGATGCTAAAAAAATCAAGAATGGTACATGAATTCGTAACATTGGAACCGAATACCAATAAAGTGTATCTAAAGCGAAACGGAAGTTGGGGTTAAGGAAGTTAAAACCACTCTTTTTAACTTTTTTTCTCATTATTTAATTTTTCTAATTCCTTTGCGTAACTCTTGGCTTCCTACAGATAGCTCTTCTTCCAAAAAAAAAAGTCTCCGACCGTAGCAAGGCTGTTACTTACAGGAAATGATGAATTTTGAGAAGCATGGCACACAGTGTATCTTTGCATGTAGGAAGTCAAATATCGCCAGGTATATATACTGGAAACAGATCTCAGAACCGGCAGAGAACCTTTCGGGTTCGATCAACCATCTTCCAGCTTTCTCTGGTCTGATATCACTTAAATAAGGTGTGCTTCTTCTATTGGATTTATTGCAATAAGGATTTGGCTAAGTATAAGTTTTTCTAATTATCTTCACTTGAAAAGCAGCTATATTAAATTAATCATTAAAGCAACTGTCATCAATTATAAAACTCTAAAAAGTAATTACTTAGTTTAATTATAAATAAACATTAATTAAATGAAAATTCCATAATTAGTTATTAGTAATAAAATTTTAAAAAATAATTACTTTGTTTAATTTTGAATAATGTAAATTAAATGAAAACTTACCGATCACTAATTATCACTAATAATAATTTATAATTATCATTAAAAAAATAAAGCCTAAACATAATTACTTAATTTAATTAAAATTAAAATTTATTAAAATAATTAATGTGGTAACGAAATATGAGTTTTGTTAATTTATACAATTGGAATTCCGATAATTTTAATTTTGTTAAGTCACTCGGAAAGCATCGGAAAAGCATTAAGCAATGGTATTGGTTCTATGATTTTCAATGTGCTGCTAGTTCAAAAAATATTTCCCTGCAGTAAAAATCAAATTTATGCAAAATAACAATTATTTATAATTAATTTATAAATCTGACAAATAGTTAATATTTTACAAGCAAAATAAAATTATTACATAATTACATTAATTTTTAAATAGCTGTATAATTTAAGGGAAAATAAAATACTATAATTAGTCAATAGTTGTTACAAAAACTTCTTACTAAGTCAAAGTATTTAATTCTTATTTATTAGCGATTTGCCTAATGAAATTATTTACCTAGCGCAAAATAGTAAAACCGAAAAATTACCCATTGATTATAAAGATTCTAACTACTGACTCATTGTTTTTTCAACTAATTGAAATAAAATCTTAGAAATTTTAGAAATTCTTGCTCTAAACAATTTTATGTTGTAATGAAACAGTTTGATAAGATTGAATATCCTAATTAAATGTCAAATTATTATACTGTACGTCTATTATAATTTTTAATTTCTTAATGAATCCCTATTAATTGATTGCTTTTAAGTATTAATATGAAATAGGGTTTAATAATTTGTCAGTTAGTCATGTAAGAAAATTTTGTTCTTAGCTTACGATTTAATTAATAACTCATTTAATGAAATCATAGTATTAATAAATCACGAATACAAAATGCTTTAAGTTTAATTATATATGTGAAATTAATAATTGATGTATTTCTAAATGGCAACAGAAATTGCGTTCACTAATTTTCTGAGTTTATATTTAGCAATATCTCACAGTATTAAAGTAATTGACTTAATTACTCGCCTTTTATTAGCGTATTAAAAGCAATTAAGTGTTAATTTAATATTTATATTCTAAAAAAGTGATATATAAGCGACATGTAATTGCATTAAAATTCAATTCAGAATTAAAACAATAAAAATTTTGTAAAAGTAAAAATATACATTGTTTTGTATGAATTTCATTTTTAAACATACATTACACTTTTTTATATAAAACAAAAGGGACAGCTACCGAATAATCTGAAATCAATGTACTATATTTATATCTTAATAACAAAATATTAATAAAATTATTTAATTTATATTAAAATAAGTTACTTCTGAGGAAATAAAAATTAATATAACTATTATAAAATTATTAATTCGTCTTTTAAAACTGTAATAATTAAAATTAAAATTATTGCATAAAACTTTTAAAATTAACATTTAAACTAAATAAAGAATATTTCTAATAGCTCTTACAAAGGCATTTCAATTTATTTATGAACTGTTGGAATATAGGTTTTTACTAATTACAATTTCTAACTTTATAGACTTGCGCATACTTAAGTAACTAAAAAGAGTTTTGAGTTCTTTTGCATTTTAAAATTATTTCAATAATATGTTTTCTTTCTTTTGATTCCTATCTTTCATTAAGGAAAAAATAATATTATAACTAATCTTATTTTTAGATAAAATAAATTAAATATGCTTGAAAATCAAATAAATTCAGCTAAATTTTGCGTCTAATAAGAGATTAAAAAATTGTTCTTACGTATTTTAATGGAAAATAAACAATTTACAGCACTGCAAGTTAACAGAATATGTACTAACAGATATTCTAATACATGCAAGAAGAATAAAAAGCGATTTGCAGTTAAACTAATTTCAGATGCCGATATTACGCAAATAAGAATGTAAACATTAAAATTTAGTAATAAACCCAAATAATAGCATATTCCATATAAAATCTGTAAAACATGAAATACATAAATTTCAATGTGTTTAATTCGTGCAAATTTTAAAAAGTTGTTTCAATAAAATCGTTCATGCAATGTGGAAGCTGTAATAAAAAAGCCTAATATAGATCCATTATTAAAACTTTGTTTGCCCCAGTTTATTACTACATCGCGTTAGTAATATACAAGATATCATTTTCCAATTGTGATATTTAATCCAATGCTCTCAATAATAAGAAGAAAAGAATGGAAATCAAGAATGAAAAAGACAACTTTTCAGTTCTCAGCAAAGTTAATTAAACCCTTTCTGGTTATAAAGCATAGAATTTTTATTTCCTGTTACCATTTATAATACATTCCTTAATGATTTAACTAACGCCTTCAGAAATCAATTTACACTTCCGGTTAAAAGAGGAGACATCCCTTTGCATGTTCGATGTGTTTCAGTGAAACGTGACGAATTGAAGCGAAAGTTAAATGTTGTAGTTTTTTTAATCGCTGAGGTGAAAAAGTAGTAACAGCTTTACTGACATAAGATATCCGTTTTCCTTGAGCAGCCACCTTGAACCGATTTACACTTTCCGATCAGGAAAAAGTTAAATCGTCGGATGCTTCTATTTCAAATACTTAATTTTTTATATAAAACCAATATTTAAATATACTTACTTACGAGAGGAAGAAAGCCTATTAACAAGAATACATAACAAATAATGGTTCTAAACTAGAAATCTAGTTTTCCAGCTTAGAAATTCCGAGAATATATATTTAGAAATTGTGTTGAGATTTTAATGGTATTCGGTGGAATGCATCATTTTAAATTCGAATGCCTGAAAATATACAGATTTTAAATTTTATTCATACTTGATTTTTACAATTTAAAGACAAAGAATTGCTTTTGAATTTGTTATTTCAGTAATATTCTAGGTACATTATTTTGGATAATTCAAGCGATTGGATTTCTAAAGCAAAACGAAAGACTACAAAAGTTAATTTCTTCCAAATAAACTCGCATGACAAAAAATTAGTTCCGTTATTAAATGATTACGTCTATAAATTAAAATATATTATTTAAACACCTGATAGAAAAGGTAAATTATTTAGGGTACTAAAGTTTTGTCTTTAATAGCAAATAACCTTTCCAAATAAAATTAAAATTTTTCAGTTATGGTTTATATTTTACAGAGGATGTCAGTTCCTGTGAAGGTATGTCTTTTGCTTTTGGTAGTTGCAGCATACTACGTGTCTGCAGAACCAGAACCAGAACCGGAACCACACCATCACCATGGGTTCGTAGATGCTTCTTGTTTTTTACAACTTACTTTGTAGAATGAGGTACTTAGTAGCACTTGGTAGAATAGAGAGCTCATACTAGCTATTATTAGAGCTCTTAGAATTAATTAGTAGCTCTTACTAGAATAAGTTTATAATATTAAAACTAATTTGTTTTTAGTTTATACAATATTAATTTTATTTTATTTAAATCGAGATGTAGATTTTAATTCAGACCATTTATATGAGAATATGTTCTTGTAATTACTGGTATTATATATTTGCAGGAAACAAGTTATAGTTGTGAAGGATAAGAGTGAACATCATCATCACCATCATCATCACCACAGCCATAAGCATGGTCATGATCATAAGCATGGACATCATCACAAACATGGACACGATCATCACCATAAGCATGGCCATCATCATCATCATGGTCATGATCATAAGCATGGTCATCACCATGGGCATCATCATGGTCATCATCACGCTCATCACCATGGTCACCACCACGGACATCATCACGGACATCATCACCATCATGGCCACCATCATGGACATCACCATCACCATGGTCATCATCACGGGCACCATCATCATCATGGACATCATCATGGTCATCATCATGCTCATCATCATGGACACCATCACGGACATCATCATCACCACGGTCACCACCATGGACACCATCACGGACATCATCATCACCACGGTCATCACCATGGTCACCATCACCACCATGGACACCACCATGGACACCATCATGGCCACCATCATGCCCATCATCACGGGCACCATCACGGGCACCACCACGGGCACCACCATCATCATGGTCACCATCACGGGCACCATCATGGCCACCACCATCACCATGGACACCATCATGGACATCATCATGGACACCATCACGGACATCATCACCACCACGGACACCACCACGGACACCATCACGGGCATCATCATCACCACGGACATCATCATGGTCACCACCACGGACATCATCATGGACATCACCACGGGCACCACCACGGACACCACCACGGACACCATCACGGACACCATCACGGACATCATCATGGCCATCACCATGGCCATCACCATGGTCATCACCACGGCCATCATCACGGCCATCACCATGGTCATCACCACGGCCACCACCATCATGGCCACCATCACAGAAGGGCAGATATCCTTCAAAAGGGTCTCCATGATTTCGATGGTCTCTTGGGATTTCATTTCCGCCGATAAGCGACTGAAAATTGCACGGCGGAATTTGCTGGGTTATCATCTTTTCAAAGAGCTTTTTATACCATGAAAAGCTTATTTCTTTATAGGCAACCAAAGGGGAAATCTTGCAACAAAGATCTATATATGAGCTATTGCCACGAGCACGAAAATACCATGGCTTACGTCGTGCGCATCTAGTCGGTATTCAGCTCTCCTGCTTGGTTGTCTGGCAGTTCCCGAGACTGGGTTTACCAGTAATTGGGTGTATTGTTAGTTAGAGAGGATTTGTAATGTTGTTTATTTTTTAAATTTCCTTCAGTTTCTCAATTAGCCTTTTGTTATTTCTTTCTGCTTTAAAAACGCTTCGAAATGAGCTTTTTTGTCAGGATAAAAATATTATATTTTATTGTGATGAACAAGAATTGTAAATGGTTGATGGATGAATAAAATTTGTATAAAGTTAAGCAGTTTTTTTGTGAAAAATATTCTCTCTCGACTCCCAATCACATGAAAAATAATAATTTTCGGTGTTTAAAAAATGGAAATCAAAAAAAGTCAGTTTAGTCAAAAAAGTTCTTAAATTATAACATGGTTAGACCAGTGCCTCATAAAACACGCACATTACCTATTATTCAATGAGTGGCTATTTACTTTGTTTCATTCATTAAAGTACTACAAAATATATAAGGGAAGAAAACAAAATAAATTTAATTTACTGTACATATTTACTCAAATTATATAAATACATCATGAGCCCCAATTAGTTTAAAACTCCGAGAGCTGCTCAAGTGTCTCATGCTTTTCGGCCGAATTATATCACTCTAGTCCGATGTTTCCTACTCATTATTGACAGATTATCTCGTGTAGTCCAGTGTTGAAGGGTTCAGAAATTCTTCACTTTATAGAGCAATAATCCTTTACTGCATATTCAAGCTTCAACCTTTATTTTTCTCATTCAAAATTTCATTAATTTTAAAATTTTACAGTAAACCTTTTAAAGAAAATTTGTAAATAAATTATTCACTGATAGCTTTTCATCAAAAATGTAATTTTTCCTAATTCTACAAAAATAACTGGATTCGCAAAATACAAAATGCAATTACGCACGTTTTACCAATAACATATTTAGCTACTCCTAAACGTCCCTAGATTTTTGCTGGTATTTATTTAACTTGAGAAAAATAAACTTTCAGGTATCAGACATTTAAATAAACTCATAAATTTTTAAGAGAAAACAATTTATTACAAAATAATTAATATTCATTAAAATTTATCTACGGCTTCCTAGCTAAAATAAACAGATTCCACCACTTGAAATCGAACTAAAAGTACAACCTCTAAAACAACAACGATGGAAAAATTAATTTAGCCAACTAGTCTCTTTATTATTCCAATTAATTTTAAAAAAAGAAAATTTACTTTATTCAGGCCTATATTTTCTTTTAAAATAATCTTAGAAGATAAATAATAGCATTCTCGACGGGTAACAGTCAAATCAAATCACATTCGGACTTCTTCCACATTTACAATGCCATTCATTTTAAAATTTCATTCATTTTTAAAATTTATTTATTCAGAAATTGAAGCTTAAAGCAAATTTCTAAAAAATGTGTGATTGATTACTTAATGCTAAAATTATTTTTTTTATTATTAAGGAAGATCAGTATGCTATAATTAGCTCCAAAAACGACATTAGTTCCGAAGGTATATTAGTCTCAAACGGCATTTTGCGTTGAATCACTATAAACGGCGTATCACTTTTCAAATTACCACCAAATATTATCGTCCTGCATTATATTTAAAGAAATTAAATAATGAAAAATCTGCATGAACGTATGTTCTTTGCAATGTGAAAAAACAACGGTACCTAGAGCTACAAAATTTAGAATAACGTAGTCCTTCACCCGAACATGGACACTTGGAAGCCCGAATTTTGAATTCCGAATTTGTTCTGTTATCTTCTTCATATTAAAGCTTTAAAGAATTTTGATCAACAAAGTCAACGATTTCAAAAAGAGCAGTAGCAACACTGTATGGAATAAAGCATTTTTATCTCCAGCTCGCGAGAATTCGAAAATTCTAAAGATATGCTTTTTTTAATATTTTGTGATTTCGCTGTGAAATCGAATTTTATGTGGCGTAAGAAAAAAAGATTTTGATATTTAATAAATAAAGTAAACATACAAAACGATAATAATAAAAATATAAAAAAGGCGAGCAAAGCCATCTTAGTAAGAAAATTGAACATTGATATGATAAACCGAGGAAAGACTAAAAAAAAAAAAAAAAAAGTATGCGACACTTAACGCTGCATTGGAAATTCTAAACGTATACTACTTTGCTGCTTTTAAAATTTTTGTAATTTTGCTGATGAACTGCATATGACATAAGTGCGAAGAAAATGATGCTAAACAATAAAGTTTAAAAGGAAAAAAATTAATTACTAGGAGTGAGTGTAACAGCAGACTGGTAAACTGCAAGCTTAGCGAGAGAATGAAAAACCTTAAAAAACATTTTTGAGCGACTGTTAAAATCTGAAACTCTTTACATTTTTCATTTTTGAAAATATTTCTGCATAATCACAAAGTTGCTGGAAGTGTCCTTTCCCATGGCTAAAGAAAGCCATTGTTTCCTTGAATTCTAGATGATAAGATTCTCAACCCCTAAAACTCTTAAGAGACCACTTGTTTTTTTCAGTTGATAGAAACCCAGGTATTGCCCTCTGTGAAAAACAGTTTGGTCCAAATTGCTCATTTTAGGAAACCTATATAGCTACAGACGTTATTTTCGAAGTGTTCTACAATGTCATCATTTTAAATGCACTGAGTTCGCCCCGGATTCGAATCTTCATGAACGGAAAGGTTACATGGTTGGCTTTTATGGTTTCCGCCATCTCTAACATGAATATAGGACTGTTTCGCTTAGTAATCCAGGAAAGCATCCATCACATTAGGGAGATTACTCTTGTGTAATTTGCCGTCTCTCAGTAACATAACTATGCCATTTATTATTGAGATTATTAAAATAAATAAAAGTTAAATCTGAAGTCAAAATTAGCAAGCATTTATTTCATACTTTCTAGCCAGCTCGAGGAAACGCATTTATACAATAAATACTTCAGCAGGGCTTAATTTCTAAAATCAGAAGTGCCGGAGCCTTGCGGAAAGCCGTCAGACAGAAGGGAAAAATAAATAAATAATAATTTATTAGAGAATAATAAATTAGCTAATGATTTTAATAATTAAATTAAAATTAAAATTCGGTAAAATGTAAAGAATTAAACAAAGATGTAAAAAAATATTAAATCCATTATAAATAGTTAAAAGAAGTAAAATATCAGACCTCGTCTTATTTGGTGATCCGGCTGGACTTGCAGTTTCATTCAGAAATTAAAAAATAGCTCAGCCGGCCTCAAGCTGAATTTAAACCCTAAATATAAGACATAACGGACCATTTAAAGGGAGGAGAGAAGCAAAAAACTATTCTTTTTCCCTCACACCAATGGAAAAAAGTAAAACGAATAAATCGTCACTAATGAGAATAGAGAGAATGTTAGAAATAATATGAGTGTAATGAAATTTTCGTGGAGAAGTGTAGCTTCAAAGACAAACAGAGAAGTGTACAATGCTTTCTGACGGCGATGCCTTGCAGATATAATTATAGCTGTCAAGCAGAATGTGACTGGACAGAAAAAATTTTCCCGAATCCTATCGGTTACATTCTACGGGATCCTATCGGTTACAAATCTACGGGAGCTTTGTAGTGAAAGATCACTGGCGCTGGACATGCATGACCAAGGTAATCATTTTCAGTACTCTTGGAAACAAAACACTTTACCTGCTCTTATAAATTCATTGCACTACCTGACAAGTGAAAAGTGACGGCGGACGCGAGCATATATGGTGGACCATAGTGGTCCGCCAAATATAAAATTACTACACATATTTCGTTCACATTGAAAAATTACATGAAAAGTACAAAAATGTTACCTTCTTGTACTTAGCTTCACATTTCCATATCAGTGAAACGGAATTTCGCGAAAAGCAAGAACAAACTGGCAAACGCAAAGCGAGATCAATAAACTGATAGTGTTATTCAGCCAGTTTTTAATTATTGTAAACATAATAATCATCGCTTACTCAGCAATGGCGACATCGATCAGCAGTTAGACAAAACAAAAATGGAAACTTCCAGTGATGCAATTATAAACAAGAATGCAGATGGTTCTCATAAAAATCCATCAAGTTGCCTATTGACACGGAGAAAAACTGTGTTATTAACGACCACAATAGCATGTGTTTGTAATTCAAAAGGAAGGAGAATTCCATTTCGAGCTATTATTGTAACAGCAGCATATCCATGGATGCCAACTCTCACTTTCAAATGTTGCTAGATGCACTTGAAAAAGTAGCTCAAAGTCGCTAAATTCAGAAGGAATTTCACTAAAAGTAGTAGCTAAACTTTAAAAAAAGTATAATCCATATTCCATAATAGATTTTTTTACTCGTTAATTTTTAAACTGAATCTTCATAAAAATATAAATAATGCCCCAATTTTTCTGCGGACCATCAAAACGTTTTCAGACCCCCAGTGGTCTGTGTACCACCGGTTGGTGATCGCTGGTCAAGTGCACCTCAAGATGATATGGGGAAGGGTGAAGGACCACACGGATTCCTCACACCAGTCGCACACTGCTATTTCTATAAATGTGCTGCAATTGTTGGCTATGTTACTTATGTTAATTCCAATTATAAGATTTGTCCTTGAAGTAGTGCAGTGCCAGTTGATACAATATCAGTTGAGCATTATTTAGATTTAATATTAAATTATTTTGATGCCGTGTTATGCACCGAATTATTATATTTGATGCATTGGCATGCCATTTGAGTTGCTATGCTACGATGTCTTATTCGGTTTTGTATAGAGTTGTACCGAGTTCCTATAATTTGGTCATAATTGATGTGACTTGTTTCACTAAATGCTTTTGATTGATCAGAAATTTACAAAATGGTTGTTGATTGGTTCTCGGAAATGGTATATGCTGACCTGTTATGAGAGGGC